GAGGGGCGGAGGAGTGGGCGAGGGTCACCGACCCGATCACGTCCCACTACCGGATCAAAACCTTCAACACGGTTTGCGTCCATGACCATTCCCTTGGCGAGTGACGCTGGAAGCCCATCCCGACCGGGTACACCGGCAGTCCAACTTTCGAAAGCCGTTCTTCTTGCCCGACAACCTGCTCTACCATCTCACCCGGCAACACCCCCGCGTCCTAAATCTCCCAAAACGCTGTCTCGCTCCACCGTCCGCTTTCTGAAAAAACTAACCAAGGACACGCTCGACCCAGAGGCTACCGCTCTGACCGACGCATCCATCACCTCGCTCATCCGGGTAACGCTTACCGGTACCGGGTCCCAAATCGACCAGCCGCTGGCCACCGGTCGAGCCGGCGGCCAAGTTGTCCCGCGGCGCAAGCGGCGGGGTGCCTATACCCCGGGAGGAGATATGCGAAAAGCCATCAAGGCGGCAGAAATGCGATCACGAACTGGAATGCCTTCATCCGCTGAATCCAACGCAGATGATTATGATCTTGCATTGGTGATACCTGAAGTGAAGGAAGTAGTTGATGAGGAGGTTGGGGTAGAGCCTGAGGAAGACGTTGCTGGGATCAATAGTCAGAGTATTGAGCCCGGCGGTGGGACTGGTTCGGCTGAAGATACGGCATCCAGGCCAGCTACCGCTAGCGGCATGCTACACTCCCTCTCGACGGACGCAACTCGGTTTTTACAAGCTCTGGGAAAGGTATGCACCATCATTTTTTTTTGGCTCGTAACCAAACACTTTTATTGATGATGAAAATAGCCCACCAAGCGACATACATCAATTGCGCAAATGATTCGGCAGGATCCGCATGTTCCGAGGAGTGCACCGGTCAAAATCGACCTTTACGCGTTCAATTTAGCCAGGCTTGTTACCATGCGTAAGTTTTTTTTTCAATCCAAGATTCTCCACTTTGACTAACTAGGGTTTCACGCACAGTCAAACGCCTCTCAAAGGATGTCCATTATATGCACGCCCCTGAGCCACCTAGCGCTTCAGTATCCATCAAGCCAAAAGGCTCCAGTGCTGAAATCTCTCCACCCCAGTGGTCCATCACCCATGTGACGGATTTCCTGACCACTCCTTTTGTCCACATGATTGATGCGCCAGTGCGAGATTCGCCAGGGTGGGACGCGGTCATCAAGACGCTGACTCTGGCTCTCGAAGTCGGAATAGTGGATACCGAAGAAGGAGGGTCAGGTCAACCGGCTGCCGAAAAGGCGGATGACATTGCCCTCAGATTCGAAGCGTGCAGGTTGCTCATCACGCTCAACGCCTATCAGAAGCTGGGCCGATGGGAAGGAATTGCGTTTAAACGCGTTTTACAGCACATGTTGCAAACGGGTCATGCGTTTGAACGAAACCTGGCCGCAACTTGTTTTGCGAGTTTGGGCACGATTAATGCGGATGTGTTGGCCCGGTTGCGGAGTGCATTAGGAGATTTGGATAATGAGGCGCGGCAGCGGGCTATTACGACCTTGAAGGGGTTGAGTGAGCGCTGGGTAGAGGAGGTCGTGGAGGGACTGTTGGAGGACTCGGGGAGCACGAGTTGGAAGGTTCGATGCGATGCTGTCGAGTTACTGGAGACGTATATACAAAAATTGTCGGCTGCCATTGGCGAGGTCGATGAGGTTTCTGTGTCTGATAGTATGCGCAATCTCTGGAAATCTGCAGCAACCCTCGACCCTTCACCCTCCACATCACAGCCGGCCTCACGGCCCACGACCCGGGCAACGGCCGCCCGACGCGCACTGGAGCAGGACCCGGCACATATAGCCATGGTCGCGCAACGAAAACAGTATCAGGCTCTGCTCGCTTCTTGCATGGAGGTGTTACTCAAACTTATGTGGAACGACTGGCATCCTCAGGTTCGGGACACGGCGGCAGTAGTGCTGAATCGGCTGGGTAAAGGCAAATCCATCCTCGAATGGATTCTAAGGTTGCTTAGTTCGCCAGACCCGTTGCGACGGGTGGACGCGCTCAAATCGCTGGCCAGACTGGGGATTATTACGAGTGAAAGCATGGATCAATTTCTGGCCTGCTTGAATGACGAGTTTGCCAATGTGCGCTTGGAAACTTGCAAGGTAGGTGGATTCCTACATATTTTTCGCAATCACCCTACCTGTATCTAACCAGGCGGTTCAACCCCTATTAGCTGGCATGTATATTAGGGTCAGGTCGGCGAGAGATGGTCAACGCCTTACTTGACCGCTTAAATGACTTTGATTGGCGTGTGCGGGCATACGCTGTTAAGGGTATGTCAAAATATATGCGCCCATGTTTTTTTTGGGGGGCCACGTTCAGTGACACACTTTCCTTCTTAGCCATTGGAATGACGCAAAATACCGATACCCAAGTACGTGAAACACTGCGTTGCTGCCTATACCACGAGCCCCACGCCTCTGTCCGGGCCGAGGCCATCCAAGCGGCCTACAAACTAGGACTCCTCGGATCGTCCAAGGACATTCAAGAAGCCGTGTTTACGTTAATGGAGACGGACCGGGTGCCGGCTGTCAAAAAGGAAGCCGAGCATGCACTCGTGGTGGCTGGGCTCATCTTTCCCACGAGTATCATGGATGGAGATGGGGGAGGGTCGCGCGGGAAGGATTCAGGACTGGATAGTAATTCAACGGTCTCTACTTCATCCGTACCTCCTCCACAACAACAACAACCGCAGCAACAGCAGTCACCGCCCGCCACGTCCTCACGGGCGGCTCCGCCCGGCACATCCCGCCTAACCAGCATGAACATGGTTCCCTTTCCCCATCTCTTATCCAACCGCCGACCGTCCGAGATTGAAGTATTTTTGCGTACATCGCTGGTGGCGGAGAAGGAGCAGGAAGCTGTGATCGAGAAGGTGCGCAGTATGGCCGAAAAGGATGCTGTGACAGCCGAGGTGGCCTATCTCGACTCGCTAGAAGGCGGTGATTAGCTCTGGGGTGTCTCCCTTCATTGTACACAAATTTTTTTCATAGCTGTATAATTGATTTTCTATTCTTCCGTTCACATCCAATTGCCGGAATTGCATCTCAACACCCACTGTATAGTAGATTTTCCACGACTGCATTCACATCCAATCACCCATAAGATAGGCAGCAAGCTATCTTGGCCACGCCGTGGTTCTTGGCCATCCATTCATGCATCCCATATACAGCTTGTCACACGTGCGAGGAGATATAAAACCATTCACAGACAGCCTCCCAGTGATTCAAAAATAAAGAACCTACTATACCAGACCCGCCCACGGAATCCGGTTCTGTTTACCTTAGGTCTCCACATCGTACGTACACGCCCCTGGCGGACGAAACGCATGTCGAAGCTGCGGCGAACGTTATGGTATCGCTGGCATACACGGAGACTCGAGCGCTACAGAATTTTATTTTGCTTTTGGTTGCGGGAGTGGTATGTGGAGACCCAAAACGGAAAAGATGGCTATGATCGCGGCGATATAAAACATCCTAACATGGGATGAAAAAGTCCAAAAAAAAACGCCCTGGGATCTTCCCACGCTGTGCATACAGCTGATGATCCCGCACGCACGCCGAGAGCCACTATTTCATCCGGCGCTGTTTTATTTCCACAGGGGTTTGCATGGTGATCCGAACGTTTACCTTTAGCGATTTCGACGGAGTGGAGTACCGAAACTGAATGGACCCATTAACCGTATACCTGCGGCGACCTAGTACTTCACTTCGTATCGATATATTACCTTCGAGCAATGCATTATCCGTCAACAAGCACAAAAACCAAGGACAGCGATACCAAAAGCAAAATCTAGACAGGAAACTAGTTGTTGCTCGCTCATATACCCCCTACGGTCAGCCAGATAATAGGCAGCAGCAAAAAAGCAAAAGAATAAACAGAAAAAAAAAGAGAAGAGAAAAGATCGATCTCGACGGGGATCGAACCCGCAACCTCTGGATCCGAAGTCCAACACGCTATCCATTGCGCCACGAGACCCTTTCGATGAATATTCCACTTGCAAGGTGCTTCATAAACGCACGAACCGTCTGCTGTCAAAGTTACATCCAAAGTCCACATTCATCAACGCTTGCTACACATTACGTTCTAGAAATTGAATCTGGACTGGTATACACCGGCTGGTATTTTCTGGGAAATGGGTTTGCGGACGCCAGAAATTATTTTATCTCTGTTAATTATTTGTCATTTTATCTGTCAACGCTGGTTTTTAGTCAATGGTTTTGGACCCCTCTCATGTCTGACATCTCAAGATGGATTACTGAGCGATATACGAACCGAAAGGACATTACCGCCAGAGAGAGAGAGACTCATTTTGACGTTCTTTTTTTATGGCTCAGGAAACACTATAAAAGAAGGTGGGTAGCGTCCATAATGAACGATTTGGACGGTTGCGCTGCATGCTGTACCCAATCACTATCGGTTTACATTAGATGGGAACTGTTGACGGATGAAGTGGTCGACCGACCAAAAACCTTGATATCCATGGCTTGGCTGTCGTTGTAAGGCTGACGGCCTCACAGCAATGACACCCGGAACATCCCTACATCTGATGAGCTAAACCCCCTAAACCCGTGCTGCGGACATTCGATGGAGGTTTTGGTGTTCAAATACCTGGCTTTAGATTATCCAGTGGGAATGCATATTTTGACGGGGTAAGATAAGTTTTTGGTTGTCCATATTGATACGAAATTTCCCACCCGCATCTATGAACTGCTCTTCATGATTGTGGTGATGAACCATTTGTATGGGTCGGCAGTAGTGATATAGAGAGAAAATGGGGGTTGAAAAATACCATTGAAGACAAACATAGTCGGTAAACGGTACAATCCTGCATTTGAACAATCAAGGTTCTCCACCCCACTCAATGTTCTTTTCAAAGAGTTTGACTTGTTCGTTCAATGCGCCCGGTCCCCATGCAGCGTAAATGATATACGCAAAAAGTATATGAAGCACCTGGCAAGTGGAACATTCATCGAAAGGGTCTCGTGGCGCAATGGATAGCGTGTTGGACTTCGGATCCAGAGGTTGCGGGTTCGATCCCCGTCGAGATCGATCTTTTTTTTTCTTTTTTCGACTTGTGGTTTGCTTTTTGAGACTTCAACTTTACTCAACTTTTCTGGGTCCCCTATACACTGCTTGAGACGGACGATTCATGCGCTCAACTTTTATCATTGGACGATTGATATCAGACAACAATCGTTAAAAAAAACCAAATCTATATCGCATCTTGTATCCTGAAAGAACATCATCATCACGGTAGTGACAGTTTTGGATTTTCTGCCCATCTGCTGCTCTGCAAAGCTGGCTGATATGGAGAAACAAAGAATTCAAGGAAAAGCATTTTGCAGGGTTTGCAATCGAATAACAAGCTACGATCCCAAGAATTGGATGGAGCTGTCTACCCACACATAACATTAGAAAAGCTATACTATGGATAGTGGACATCTTTGGGTACATATAGTTGCCCCCAGATGTCCATTATCCTATTATAAGGAAGACAAGAGTTTTCTGAATTTAGATTTGGCATGGCGGATTTCGAGAGCAATGATCAGGCCGTCCTTGTCCAAATTCGCCATGAAATCTGTACACAATTCGGACTGTTCCACTTTCTCTATTGAGGACGACGAGAAATTGACTGTTAGAATGTCGACGTCGGATGCATACTCTCCTTTGAATCTGCGAAAGAAACATGTTCAGTAGGGTTTTTGATTGGTTGGTGGAAGTGGAAAGGAATGTACCGGGTTTGAGAGACGAGGTCTGGACAGAACCAGGATGTGATATCCCCCAACTCGATGGCGACGATATGTCCTTGTTTATCGTAATCGAAAATAATGAGGTTGGGAGGGTCGGCGATAATGTCGCTTTCGGAAATGAGGCCGGGTCTGATTTTGTCGAAATAGATTTTGAGGTAGTCGACGTCTGGGGAGTAACGAGACTTGATGTCCATGTTGTTGAACTGAACGATGAAGCAGAGTGCAAAGAGTACGGTTGAGGTGAAAGAAGAGGGAGAACCGGACTACCTGTACAGTATCCTGATCACAGAGAGAATGGCAGCGGAGAATGGCCGACGCCGAGTGACTTGGACACGAAACTCTTGGCGGCAGATTCTCCCTTAATCCCAATTCGTTGAATTCCGCACTCTCACTTGTCAGAAATCTAACCTCTTTCGAGACTATCAAGTTCCACTTTGAGCTTCAACACATCCCAATTGAGCGTCAGCTCGGTCTCTGCGTTTTGCGTGCCATCGCGGCCGTGCGGTTTGTGGTTACTGGCGATACCAAGAAATACAAGGGTACTGTGCCCAACAACCAATTTCCGCTCTTTTTAGAACTGCCATAGCTCAATGCGGTGACTGTTGGCCCAAATCGAGAGTTGAAGGAGTGGTCCTCCAGGCCCAAGATCCACTTGTCAAACCCTGGGTTTCCCACTCCCCAATATCTTTTTAGTGCACACGAACACCCCACCGCGCAACACGTTTCTTCCGTTTTAGGAGCGCGTCTGACCGAATGCGGGTGTTCAATACCTGGATTAGGCGAGGAAGGAGGGTTCGGTTCCTGGGAGTCGACGTGGACGCGAGCTTGGGCCTGAGCGGTCGTGTAACTTTGAGTAAAGAAGCGTCGGGAAGCCGCTCTCGCGTGACCGTTATCAGTCCGTCTGTTTCGTATGACGTCTCTGTTTCTCGCCTTTGGATTTTTGGTTTGGCCTTTCACACTCGATAATCGATATCTGATCCTCTGCGCATTCTACTCGCAGCAGCAGCAGCAGCAGCAGCACTCGGTAGCCTTGAATACCATTACAGTAAACTTAAACGGCCTGGAGCCTCTGCAGAGCCTCTGGAGCCCAGCTGGACCCAGCCATTTCCCCCGCGAGAGCCGAGAGCAGTCAGCCAGTCACCCGAAATTGCTTACTGCATCATCAGCCTTGTGACTTTCGACTGACTGACTTGCAGTTGCCGCTACAGTTGCCGTTGCGATTCAAAGGTCCTGGCCCGCCCAGGGCTCCCTCTATATATCGTCGTACTCGAGTACCTCCCCGCAATCCCCCCCCAAGTCATTGGATCCTCTAACGAAACCGACACACACACGTCCCTGAAAAAAAAAGCATAAATAAAATCCATCGAAAAAAAGGACCCCCACTCGCATTGCATCAGCAAGGAATATTATATCCCGCACCCGGCGCGTAAAAAACCTCTGGAAAAAGCTGCACCTGCCCGTGCCAACTCCGCTACGCCAATTTCCATAATTCGACCAGTGAGAGCTGCTGACGCGCGCCGCGTTCTCGTTATTCCCCCTTTGGCCCCCCTCTCTTGACTTCTTGACTCTTTGGACGTACCCGAGAAATCACTGTTCCTCCGTGTTTTGCTCCCTCCTATCCCACGTCAAACTCTTTGCTGCTGCATTCCCGTCGGCGGCCACAGGCAAAAGGCGGAGAGAGTGAGCAGTCTCCACACACACACACACATCCCATCTTTCATCCCACTTCCCGACGCAACAGGAATCAAACCACACATAGCCTGGGGGGAAAGAGCAATCAACATTATAACAGACTGGACCACTAGGATTAAGCAAGCAAAAGACTGAGAAAGAAGACATGTCCTCGACTACAAAGAAGCGCACGGTCGTGCAGCCTCTTGATTCCACCAACCCTCCTCCCTCCTCCACCTCCAACAACGCTTCCACCGCAAAAACAGCTTCATCCGCAGGAAACGTCATCAACGGCATTCGTTTGAGCAGTGAGTTATCATTTGTTTCGGGGGACTCGCATTCCACCATAAAACTAACGCAATGAAAAATCCCCAAAGGCGAACCAGACTCATCAAAAGTCAATACCGTCCCCGCCAACGACGGCAAAACCGGCGAACCCATCGACCTCCAATACACAAACTACAAAGTCATTGGCAACGGCTCGTTCGGTGTCGTCTTTCAGGCCAAACTCCTTCCTTCCAATGACCCCGTCGCCATCAAAAAAGTCCTTCAGGACAAACGCTTCAAGAACCGTGAACTCCAAATCATGCGTCTCGTCGATCATCGCAACATCTGTTCCCTACGAGCCTTCTTTTATTCCAATGGCGAACGCAAGGATGAAGTGTTTTTGAATCTGACCTTGGAGTATATACCCGAAACCATCTACAGAGCTTCCCGCCATTTCGCTAAAATCAAGCAGACCATGCCGATGGTTTCCATAAAGGTGAGTGAGCGGAGCGCGGCCTTGGCCCATTCGTTTTTCCGCAAGGAAAAATGGATGGGCGCGGGGGGGGGGGGGGGGGGGGGGGGAGCGACGAGACTGACGAGCCCGGAGGGCGAGGAGGACGCCGAGCGAAGCGAAGGCATTTCTTGGCCCCAGACATTTTTCCGGAAGGCAAAATGGAAGGGCGGGAACGACGACGAGCCCATGGGGATTGTTCTTTCGCAGGTGCGGGAGTGCAAGGGAGAAGGAGTGGGGAGCAAGGAGGAGTCACAATGGTTGCGGGACGGAACGCGCGTGCGGAAGGAGGAGGAGTCGACTTTGTGTAACCGACACACATATTCTCACGCGATGCAGATAGAGTACTAACTCCAGAACATTCTTTGTTATAGCTGTACATGTACCAACTGTTCCGATCGCTGGCGTACATTCACGCGCTGGGGATTTGCCACCGGGACATTAAACCGCAAAACCTGCTGCTCGATCCGTCCAGTGGAGTCCTCAAACTCTGCGATTTCGGGAGTGCCAAGTTACTGATTAAAGACGAGCCCAACGTCTCCTACATTTGTTCGCGGTATTACCGGGCACCGGAACTGATTTTCGGGAGTACGGATTATAACGTTAGCATTGGTATGTGTACTCTCTCTCTCTATACTATGCGCACACACATATGCTAATTCAGATTGCTGAACAGATGTCTGGTCAACCGGCTGCGTAATGGCCGAACTGATGCTCGGGCAACCCATTTTCCCCGGCGAATCCGGCGTCGACCAACTCGTCGAAATCATCAAAGTCCTGGGCACACCCACCCGCGACCAAATCAAGGCCATGAACCGCAACTACACCGAATACAAATTCCCCCAAATCAAACCGGCCCCCTGGCCAAAAGTCTTCAAGAATAAACCTACCACTCCCGAATCGCTGGATTTGATTGGCCGGTTGTTGGAGTATACGCCCGTGAATCGACTTACGGCTGTGGAAGCTCTGGCGCATAACTTTTTTGATGAGTTGCGGAAACCAGAGACTAAAATGCCTAATGGAAAGGATTTACCCCCGCTCTTTGATTTCTCGCCTATGGGTAAGTCATTCCCTTCCCTTTTCTACCCACCCCCACTAACATGTACCCCTTAGAACTCTCCATCCAACCCGACCTCAACCGAGCTCTTGTCCCCCCGCACGCCGAAGCCGCTCTCCGTGCTCGTGGCATTGACCTGGACACCTTTGTCCCTATCCCCATCACCCAGCCATCACTGGCCGACTAGTAGTTCCATCTCTCTTCTTCCTCTCTCTCTCTCTCTGAACATACCCCTCTCCCTCTCTCTACCTCTCCGTTTTTGGGCGCCCCGAGCTTTTTTTTTGTAAAACCTCTCTTTTCGTTGTACACTCTTTTATTATTTTTTGTTGTGTGTGTGTGTGTGTGTCTTGTTGTTGCGTGAAAAATACCAGTTTTGTCGTATGGAATGTCATGTGGGTTGTTACCAAAGGGGGCGGAGAACCTCTCGACACAATTGAAGATTTGATGAATGAACATACAAGCACACGGTGCGCTTTTCGCGCAAACAGTTCATATAGTATAGGTAAAAGTTATAATGAGAAAACATGTTGAAACTGTACAGATAGGGAAAAAAAATACAAAGAGAGAGAGAGCGAAATAGACACAGTTTTTGGCCCCATTGATGAACTGAAAGGCTGTCAATCCAAGAAAGCTGCCGCTTCAATCCAAACTTCAATGTTGATCGCCAAACGTTCTCGACTATTGTGGGAATTTTGTCACATATGATAGCTGCAAGACTCTTAACGCCACGGTCTTGGTCCCCGTCCATTTCGTAAACGGACAAATTACGGTTGCCCAACTGCTTTGGTGTTTC